CAAGATAAAAAACTTTAAATATTGTCTAACAGCACCTCTTAGGCAAGCGTTCGTAAACATACGTTTTCAAACATCCCTGCTTAAAATACCCCATAGAGACCCTGTTCAAACCGATAGATATTTGTATCGGGATGTATGGTGTTTCTATAGGATGTATCGGTTTGTATAGGACCCATAGTTGAGATTTATGGTTGTTCTATAGGGATATCCACCCTTGATTTACTGGCTATCGGTTTCAATGGGGAAAATACACATAAATGTAGAAATTACTTTTTCCCCTATAGGACCCCATAGGTTTTAATTAAATTATGTCAAATGTTTTATGCACTGAGAAAATTCCAATCTTAAATTATCTTAATGAAATTATCTACATAGTGTTCAAAATATATCTAATAACCAGTACAAATTATCTATCTGTGACATGAAGACGAATTAAGGTGACTAATAGATACGTTTTAATAAAGTGTTAAAACAAAAAATACAGATCATCTATATTTATATTTTAACAATCATAAAATATCTAAATACCACCATAAACTCAGATTAATATGTCGCTGTTCTTTAAATTATTTTAATGCCAGTGATAAATAACTAAATATGGTTAATAGACGACCTTATTAAAACTTGTCTTAATAACCATTACTAGTCAATTGTGAACACATAACATAAGATTGTGAACCACCTTAAATTATCTAAAGACCTTAAGAAGTTGTATAATGGCCTTAACTAACTCATCTACCTAACTAACAGATTCGGCTTTCCGACTATACTCGAATTGACCAATCGTTTAACTAGCGTCCACAGCACAGAACAGCGTCCTCTGTGGTAGCGTCATTTATTATTTCTCACTTGTTTACGGGAAATTGAGGATAATATTGAATCGTTTATAGAAGAAAAAGGGCGTTTCTTCACAATTGTTTTGCGGTAATTTTACAGAACATGGTAATGGCTTCCAAAGTTACTCTGCTTGAATGGGGGCTCAGTGATTTTGTTAAAGGATTTGAAGGTAGGTTCAATTTCTTTCTATATAGTTTCCGGGGTCCCTGCATTAAGCATTTAAAAAATTCATCCTGTATTTATTATGTTGATGATACTTTTATAAATGTATGCTTTGAAGTTTATTTTATAGGATATTGGTAAAATCTGAAATATATTTTTGGTAAAATGTTAACAATTTATTATTATTAGGTACCATATTTATAAATAAAACATCTTGAGAAAAATTACCAAGATTTTTAATAGGTCAGAATATTGGCTTTGATTCCTTAATTTATTATTTAATTATACATGTATAAGGTTCAGTGGCGGACATATAATCGGGCAGTTCGGTGCAGTGCCCGGGGGCCCCGGTCATATAGGGGCCCCCAGACATAAAGAAAATTCTTAATTATACATTAATAATAATTATTAATACACCATTTCACGCCTACTAAATTATTGAGAACCACGCCACCTATTAGTAAAGCTCGAAAACAAGGCGTATACTCTATGCGATGCGCAGAAAACTAACTTTCGACCTTGGTGTTACATTTATGTGCCTTGTTTTCGAGCTGTACTGATAGGTGGCGTGGCTCTCAATAGTTATAAATAAGACAATTGCGATTGGTCGGCCACGTATGTGCAGTAACAAAACCGCGCAGTAAAGAATCTTGATCGTTTACGCATCATTGACAATTAAGAATTAGACAAGTCGTTTCGAATTCAAATATTTGGTAATTAATCAAGAAAAAAAGAAATAGTTGTTGGTTTTTATAATTAGGTAATTCCTTAATATAAATAATAACAAATACCTACGGTGTTTTTTTAACTACATAGGACAATAGAGGTAGGTAATCCGATAAATATTTTAGCACTGTGTGCATACTTACATTTTTTAATTTGTATTTTTTGCCGCAAAAATAAATTTAATACCTATAGTAAGGTATGAACAAGCGCAAATATAAAAGTGGAGCCGAAAAACGTAAATTAAAACTAGAAAATTTTGAAAAAGCTAAAAAATTGCCCAAGATCGATACATTCTTTAACCAGCAAAATGCCCCTGGGCAGAGCTCAAGTCGTTTGTCTTCATCGAAAGAATTTGAATGTCCAATCACCAATATCTAATCAGAAATATCCAATCACCAATTAATATTACAAAACATACCTCTCGTTGGAACACAAGTTAATAATATTAGTTCAGACAACGAAATCTAGGAGATTTTCTGCCATGTTCAATATTAAACAAAATTTTAATTTTTTGGAACCCTCGTATTTAATTAAAAGCTCAAAAGAAGAAATTTTACAAAGATGTGAAAAATTGACCCAAAAATATCCGAATGTGTTGACTAATTGTTTTGCAAATCAGTTTCATATGTTGCTTGATTTAATGAAACCTGACCTTAACGAAGGTATGTCAATAAGAGATCTTTTTGAATTTATTATTAAGAACTTTGCCTGTATGGAAGCAGACTTTTGCGAGGTTTATACAGTTTTTATGCTATTTTTTACTCTTCCTGTAACGGTGGCCTCTTTGGAACGATCTTTTAGTAAACTAAAAATATTAAAAAATTATTTAAGATCTACGACAAGTGAGCAGCGATTGCGAGATTTGTCAATATTGTCTGTAGAATATGAAATTGCATCCAACTTGGATATAACAAACCTAATAGATCGCTTTGCAAATGATAAAGTTAGAAAAAGGGTATTTTAAAAATTTAGTTATTTATAGGTGATTTTATATTCTACAGACAGTATTGATACATCTCTATAGGTGTTCCTTATATGTTCTTCTGTTTTGTAAAATGTTTAAAAAATATATATATTTTCTATTAAATTAAATAGTCAAATTATTTGTGTATAAAGTAATTTTAAATGGGTTAGTAATGTTCGTCTTAAAGGGAAGGGTACAGGGGCCTCAAGTATAATTTGCACCGAGGCCCCGGTCTGCCTAGATCCGCCACTGATAAGGTTATAATTTTAAGATGGCCTATCTGCTGAAATAGTTTAATTTTTTTAAAGCTCAATTGTTATCTTTCTTTTAGGGTAGACTGGCTAAAAATGTTCAGAAAATTATGGAGTTAACTAAATGGAAATAATCCTTAAAAGTATTATTAATTAATATTTCTACTAAAAGTATACCCAGGTAGCACACTGACGTATGTTGACGTTTATATGACTTCTTCTGACGTTAAAATGACGTTAGCAAAGTCATTTCAACGTCATATAAACGTCAGTGTGCTACCTGTGTAAAGTCTTGAAAATGAAAATAAAGTCCCAACGCAGAAAATGCACTAATAAGGTCGTCTAGTAAAAATAATTTCGGTATTTATCTCTATTTTATTTCCTAAAAAAATAAGGAAAGCATTAATTTATGCTAATTGCGATATGTTTTTCTGATTTTTTTATAAACATTTAGGTTTAGTTTAGGTTGATGAAAATAATGGTGTTAATGATTTTTTTTAATAAAATAAAAATGAATGCCAAAATTATGTTCAAGTACTCGAAGACTAAAATGAAAATCCAACCTTTTAATGCATTTTTTCGCGTTGGGGCTTTATTTTATTTTCAAGACTTTACTTTTAGTAGAAATAATGCTTTTAAGATTTATTTTCGTTTATTTATACCATGCTGCAGCTCCATTTATAATAAAATTAAACTATTGCCGTAAATAGGTCATCTTAATATGATAGCTATAGCATATTATTATGGCAAATAAATATATTTAGGATCATATTAAGATAGCATAAGAGGATATTAGGATGGAATTAAGATGATCATAAAATAATATATTTACCATTATAAGATTATTTATTTGCCATATATGTACCAATTTAGCATCATATTAAGATGTCATAAGAAGATATTTAAGTGATATTAAGATGATCCTAAAATAATATATTAACCCTTATAAGATATATATTAATGGCCGATATAAAAACTTTTGATGGTCTTATAATAATTGTATTAAGTTTGCCTATTGATGGTCACAAAGTATAGTTATTAAATTGAATATATTAATGGTATTTAAACGGTCTTAATGTCCCCTATTTTACTGCGATATCTTAAATAAGGTTATTAAGAATCTTAAAGATGGTCTTAAATTATTTTTCTCGGTGTGGTTGCTCTATAGGGATATACCTATATATCCTTCATTAAGTTATTTGCTATCGGTCTCAATAGGGAAAATGTAAAAGTTATGGTGTGCCTATAGGTAATTTCCTATACATTTTCTATCGGGCCGTATCCGGAAAAAACCATGGACAAATGCACATATTGAATCCGGTAGCGCCCGATAGATTATTTTGTATAGGTCTCTATGGGGTATTTTAAGCAGGGATGTATGTTCACCAAACATCGAATTTTGGAAACGGAATAGCCATGATGTTTATAAACATGGATGTTTAAGAAATTCTTCGAGCGCATGCGTCTATAAACGAAATAATTGAAAGGGAATAGGCTCATATGTTACGAAACATATGTAGTTCATGAACATGCATGTTTAGCGAAAGGAAATAGGCCTCTTAATAATAATTTATAGATTTATAGCCCGTGCTCAAATTTTTTTTTGCAAAAAAACAATTTTATATATTTTTTTAACGACTTGAAATATTTTTTTTTATTTTTGCAAAAAGAAATTAAGAAAAAAACGAAAATAACCTAAAAAACCGTTTTAAATTTAAAGGGTTTGAGTTCGGTCTCTATAGAGTTACATTTAAAAATAATATGGGTTCGGTTACGGTTCCGGTCCACAAATATATACCGGTTCCTGTCCGGTTTTCTGTCCAAAAACGGTCCGGTCCGGGTCCCTGGATGTAATACGACGATTGTACCGATGAAATAGCTAGCTGCAAACTAGTCCGAAAATATGTTAATTTTTAGAAATAGCCAAAATTCTTAATTTCCGTAGAATATTGAGTCTATCGGTAGATGGGTAGAATTATTTAAAAATCGGTACATCTACAGAAATTACGGTAGTGGTGACAACACTGTAAACAACACTTCATAACCACGTGGTGTTAAACACGCAATCGCGTCGTGCGTCAAGTACGATAAAGACATAAAATCCCGTTGTTTTCTCTGCGTTTCACTCTAGCATTTTATAAACAATCACAGACAACTTCTTTTTGAGCAGTCTTGTAGTGTGTTTTAATAAACTAAAGTATATAAAAAAGTTAATATGTTTTCCTCAAAAGTTTGTGTAAATCGTACGAGTTGTGAGTTATTAAGCAACTTTAAACGACAAATCAGTAAAACATCTAGCACACCAAACATTGATGTCATAACTAGACAACAAGAAAATAAATTCAACGTAAATGATGATCAGTCTTCAGGCACAAACAAATGGATGATAATCAATAAGCACAATAATATAAGGTAAGTTGTCAAGTTTGTATTTTGCTGGCGATGAGGTCAACGTCTGTCCCATTCGATCGCCTAGTAACTACGTGACAAAAGCCTTGTCTGAATTAACAGTGTTCACCCTTTGCATGTGTATATTATTATTTTGTTTGCATCTACCTATAACACGCAAAATGATATACCTACACTTAGTTAAACAATAAATCACAAAGTTATTTCAGTTTTAAGAACAAATTATCAAATTATATGGGTATTACCTATAGTAACAACTAACTGGCACAATTAATGCATTAGTGACTAGGTACCTACTACTAAACATAGATATAACAGTAAGGACATTAATGGTGGATTTATGCAGCACACATTAACATTAAGCTAATTTAAGGTGAGAATTTTATGCAGCAAAATTAGTGACTTATTAGGCGTGCGTGTAAGTATTTTGACATTTTTGGATTTTTAACCTTGTTTTAGCATCTGTTTAATGAATAAAAACTATAAACTGAATGTCAAACAATAAACCACAATCATTATAGTGATGGGTCGCACATGTGCGAGTCATACATAATGTACGACACTTTTGTGTGTGCGGAGCTGGTACGACTCTTTTTAACTGTGCTACCAGCACATAGCACCCAGAGATTAAAAAGGCACCTTTATCATATGTGGCATGGTGCGCTGAAACAGCACTGCTCTTTATCTAACTAACCTACCTATGGCTCTTTAGTAAAGAATCTTTACGTATGTGGCTTTGACTCTATGATTCAGCACATAACACATAGATGGCACTACAATAGGTTACAAGTTGTAGAGAAATTATTTTATATAATTAACAGTTTGTATATCATGATGTCCATAGATGGCAACACAGTCTATATTATAATAATATTAAAATAAAATTGTCACAATTAAAAATCCAAAACCGACAGTTGGATACGACACGCACAGTGTGCTGAGCTGTGCAACGTGCGAGATTCTCAATTTGAATCATTTTCTCCCACCCCGCACAAATGTACGACACGCACAGTGCCGCACACTGTAGTGTGCTGTGCAACATGTGCTAGCACACAAGAATGTGCGGGTTGGACCCATCACTAAATCATTAAACAAAAAATGAATCATCCAGCAGCACTTTTCATTTTATTTTTGTGTATGTTGGCATTACTGACACGGTTATTTAAAAATTGCGCCGCAACCTGCGCAGAAGGAGTACAAATTAACATTATCATTAAGAACCCTGCTTAAAATACCCCATAGAGACCCTGTTCAAACCGATAGATATTTGTATTGGAATGTATGGTTTCTATAGGGTGTATTGGTATGTATAGGACCCCTAGTTGGGATTGATGGTTGTTCTATAGGGATATCCACCCTTGATATATTTGCTATTGGTTTCAATGGGGAAAATACACATAAATGTAGAACTCAGTTTTTCCCCCATAGGACCCCATAGGTTTTAATAAAATTTTATCAAATGTTTTATGGTTAATAACCATTGGTTATAGGGATATCCCTATATATCCTTCATTGAGTTATTTGCTATCGGTCTCAATAGGGAAAATGTAAAAGTTATGGTGTACCTATAGGTAATTTCCTATACATTTTCTATCGGGCCGTATCCGGAAAAACAATGCACATATTGAATCCGGTAGCGCCCGATAGATTATTTTATATAGGTCTCTATGGGGTATTTTAAGCAGGGAAGATACAAGTTGGCCATCTCTTGTTATGTTATGTTAACTTAATATAAAAATGTTAATGTGTATAAAAGCTTCCATTGCATTACATACATTTTAACTTTTTAATGATAATGTTAATGTTAATTTGTTCTGCATAATTCCACTACACAGGAGTCTAAAACGGGTCAAAAGTTAGAAAAAAATGACAACAAAAACCAACAGTAGAGACAACCCCCGAATTAATAAACTGCCAAAATCCCATCTGATCCTTTTTTTGACATTTTCATGTTTTTTTGTGACTTTGTAATATTTTTAATAATTCTCGTTTTTTTGTATGATATAAATAAAAATACAGCACAACTTTTTTGTTTTTAATGTGTTACCAAGGTAATATATTTTCGAGTATATTTTATATATTTTTTTTAATATTGAGACTAAGAAAAAATTTTAAGATACCTATTAAGTATGATAATTTAAATAGAAGATTTTTTTGTAGATATGTACTATTTTTTATATCCGGTTTCATTTTTTCTATAGGTACTTAATTTTTATTCAAAATTATATTAAAATTGACACAACAGAAATAATTTATGAAAATATTTATTAAACATCATAAAGTCCTAAACCAACTGTATTAATTTATTTTTTTTTTCGAGGAAAAGTCAACAACAGCTTTTTGTAATTTTTTTTTTAAATTCAAATTTAAATCACTGCTACTGCCTTTATATTTATTCCAATACTTAATAAATTCACAAACTCCCCTGGTTGTTCAGACAAGGTCAAGGAGTTTACGTAATGAAGGCATTCTTCTAAATGGTTAATTAACACGTAAATTTTAAGAAACTTTGTAGCTAAAGACATTTTTTTGAATTCTTCTATCAGTTTTTAAAGTTGGATTAATTTGTTCAATGATTTTAAAAATAAAATAAAAGGCATTAATGCATTAATTCCCTGACAGTAATTACTATCAGTGAACTTCTTTAAGGATATCTTTGGATAATAAAATGATATTATTTTTCAGCATCATGCGTTGCCCTCGACTATTTCTCCATGATACTGCTTTGAAATGAAATTTAATTTTTAGGCCATGCCAACGCTTTCTCTCTTCCCAAAACAGGTACTAAACCATTCCAGAAGACGTGATTTACTACGCCTTGCATTATATGCAAGTTATCATCTTCTTTTAAAAAAAGGCATGGTAATAACGTTGTTGCAAAACTTGGCTTGTTTTTTGTCTTTTCCCTGCTTAAAATCCCGCATAAAATCTTATAAAAGTTGATGAGTTTTTATAGGGACTATGAAACAGCAATTCCTGATAAAAAAATTTCAAATTCTATTAGTTTTTAAAAGACACTACTTTTCAACTCTGGTCAAAACTTTATATACGCATCAAGTTATACAGGGTGAGTTTTAAGTTGACGCGTTACTTTTAACAGCGTGTAGAAATCAGATAAACAAATAATTTTTTTGTGCCTCAATTATTGTTAAAAATGGTTCATAATTATAGCAATAATGAATTAGTGGAAATGTTACTAATTTATGGAGTGTCGTCAAAATGCAAATGCCGGAACTTAAGTAAATAATGACATTTTTTAAAGGAAAATGTCAATTTGATTTAAATGGTTATGTTTGTTGTCAAATATAACATTTTGCATTGTTTATTTTGATATTTTTATGGTTATGTTTTTCGTTAACCGGCTTAAAATTTAATTAAACTTTGATGGGCTAAAACTTTTTTATTTTTGAGTTTTGATAAAAAAGTTACTTAAAATATTTATTTGTCTAGCTGATTTCTACACACTGTTAAAAGGAACGCGTCAACTTAAAACTCACCCTGTATAATATTTTATGAGTATTTATGAGTTTTTAAGAGACATTACTTTTCAACTCAGGTCAAAACTTATTAAACTTTATTAGGATTTACGCATCAAGTTATATAAATTGTATGCGTATTTGATGCAATTTTATCGATTACTCAGTTCGGCTACTATTACCCCTCAAACTTCGATAAAATAAACCGTTTCGGAGATATTCGAGATTACAATAATTGTTATATCGCATTAAAGGACTAAAAGGTATATGATAACAATTTTTTTTATTGAAAAAACTACAATTTTTTTTATGTGATGGTCAGGACAACAAGTCCCGAGACTCAAGGAATGCCCTTTTTAGTTTTTTCAATTAAAAAATAAAATTTGTTATCGTATACCTTTTAATCCTTTTAAATAATGCAATATAACAATTATTGTAATCTCGAATATCTCGGAAACGGTTTATTTTATCGAAGTTTGAGAGGTACACCTTTTTAATGGTAGCCGAACTGTGTAATCGAAAAATTGCATCAGATGTTATAAAAACCTAAACTCAAAGTTTGTATGGGACAATAAGCTTAAAGCAACCCCCGTTTCTACAACACTGTATTTCTTGATTCATAATTTGTCAAAATGTCAGAAATATTATTCAAAATTATGGTGTAAAAATATAAACTGAAGTAAAGTTTTTTAGAATGGATAGGTATAAATGGTTATTAAAAAATTATTATATAAAGGAATGGAAAAGGGAAAAATAAATACAAATTAATATAGACTAAGCGGTACCAATTCTCAAGAACTGTTTTGCTAGCTATAACATCCCTGTTAAAAATCACCCATAGAGACCAATAGAAACCAATAAAAAATCAGAATGGAATGAATTGGTCTTTATTGGGCCTATTGGTTTCTCAACAGAATGAGCATTGGTTTCTATTGGTAATTTCCGTACTGGAAAATGCCAATAGATTACCTAATGGTCTGAATTGATTTTTATAAGAAGTTACAAGTACAGGAAATACCCAATTGAAATTCAATTGGTAAATACCACTTAAATGTTCAGCGCCTGCGCAATTTAATACAAATGACCACTTGTTTCTATTGTCAATTTTCTTACTGGAAAATACCAATAGATAAACTAATGGTCTGAATTGGTATTTTATCGGTGTATAGGTACAAGGAACCCTATTGGTATATACCACTTTAATATTTATTTTCAAAATTCGCCAATAGGTAGGCAACCCATGCATACCTCTCGCCTCTGTAGCACAATACATAGGCCTATAAAGGTGGAATGCCTTGAGCTGCTAAGTAAGGATTCCTTACTAAGGCAAAATTACTGGCCATGGACACGCTTGGCGTTTTGGAATTTTTAAAGGGGCACAGATCGTCCTGTGGCCCACTCTGCGAAAAGTAAGCAGTGGACCCCACTACTTACTTTTAGCAGAAGCTATTTATAAAATTTAAATTAAATGTTAAACAGCACTATTTTTGAGAAATTATTTAACCATCAAAACTCGTAATTTTTTAC